ACTAAACTGATAATAAACTGCCCTGCTTACTGAAGTGTTCCCTTTTAGTGTGTGTGTGTGTGGGGGGGGAGGTGACCCCTGACACTCACCCATCCATCCTCAGTTTCACTTCTGCCTCCTAGACTGAAGACTGTTCTCTGCGGGTGGTGTTCCTGGAGCAGCTGAACCCCTGGCTTGGCTGTGCTGGCAGCCGCCTTGAGAAGCGGGGATGCCAGGATTTGCTTTGCATTTGAAGGCGTGTTTGTGATGACCTGTCCTCCTCGTGGAGGCATCTGGGAGCTTGTGGGCAATCTTGCTATACTTGGTGCCGTATGTCCTCACTGAAACGTTTGCAGGTGCAAACTGCTTCCTTTCCTTTGGTTTTTTAAAGATATTTATTAGAATTTTACAAAATGAAAAAAGAAAAAAGAAAAATACAAAGTAAAAATAGATTAAAAAAAAACAATTCCATCTTTCCATCACTTTCTTTCGTTTGCTTATTTCCCGGACCTCCTCGCACCTCCCTTTTTGTATTCCAGTTCAGTTTGTTAGTTCAGCAAATCCTTCCCCTCTTTGTTTATCCTAATCTTTAATCTTAAAATAATGTAACATTAAATTTTTGTCTGTTAATAGTCCATTTTTTTCATACTCCTTATAGCATTATAGCTAAAAACCACCTAACTTTCATCCAACATCATTTTAACACTCATTAATTTTACAATATTTCTGTAGGTAGTCTTTAAATTTCAAACTGCTTTCTTTCCAGTCAGTGCCTGTCCCATAACTTCCTGCTGAAATCCTGCAACATTGCATACCACAAATGCTCCCATTTGCTTATTTGTTTGTTTTGTCCCACTTTTGTTGAGCTATATAGCACAAGAGATGCCCCTCCAGGTGTCAACATTATGGGAACTTTGGGAGAACTATGTCCAGAACAAACCCACCACTAATGAGCTATTACTATTGCAGAACACACCTGACAGTGTGTGTGTGTGTGTGTGTGTGTGTGTGTGTGTGTGTCCGTCCCTGGTCTGGAGAGGCCCCGAAGTGTTTTTGGGGGTGTTTCATTTATCCAAAACGCATCTTGCAAGTCTTGACAGAGGAAGGGCCACAACTCCGGGGGTAGAGCACCTGCTTTGCATGCAGAAGTTCTCCTGTTCAATCCCCAGTGGCCCCATCTCCAGGTAGGGTTGGGGTCACCCCCTTCCTGAGACCCTGGAGAGCCACGGCTGCCAGTCAGGGTATGCTGGGTGTGCCAAGTGGACCAGCGCTCTGACTGAGTACAAGGCAGTAATCCTTTCCACAGTCCAGTAGGGTAAAGGTAAAGGTAAAGGTACCCTTGACCGTTAGGTCCAGTTGCGGACAACTCTGGGGTTGCGCGCTCATCTTGCTCTATAGGCTGAGGGAGCTGGGGTTTGTCCACAGACCGCTTGACTAAGCCGCTTCTGGCGAACCAGAGCAGTGCACTTTGATGTGCTTTCGAACTGCTAGGTTGGCAGGAGCAGGGACCAAGCAACGGGAGCTCACCCCGTCAAGGGGATTCGAACCGCCAACCTTCTGATTGGCAAGCCCTAGGCTCTGTGGTTTAGTCACACCACGTAAGACGGCATTATTATGATTATCCTCCTGGGTGGGTGTGAGAGAGGATGCAACTTGTGGAAGCCACCAGGTGGAGATCCTTGGAGGTGTCCTCTGGGCCCCCAAACCTCCACAAGACTGCTGTGGATTTAGCAACGCAGCACCCCCCCCCCTCTGCAACCTGCCCCCGTCCTTCCTGGGCATGCAGGTGAGGGGGAGAGGGCACCCCGCTGGCACCGGGGAGTGAAGTGGGGGCTTTCCTGGTTCCTTCCACTCTGCATTCCTTCACGCCGGAGGAGGAGCACGTCCTGTGTCCCGGAGGGCAACATGTATCGACAGCAGCCTCCCGAGAGACACTGGCCTTTTTGTGTGCAAACAACGGGGTGGTTCTCCCTCCCTCAGGGATGGGGGATGCGCCCAGCAAGACACTCTGTTGAGAACTGGGCGAGATGCTTGGCCCGGGAAGGGATTCAGATAAGAGCGCAGATGAGCCAAGCAGCCATTGTGCTCTCCCGCTGGGGGCTGTGCTTGCTTTGCAGCTGGGGGCTGGGGGCGGGGTCTCCAAAGCCAGCCTTGCTGAGCTGCCCCCACAAACTGCCCCTGGAGCCTGAGGAGGAGGGAGGGAGGCTGAAAAAATTCATTGCACTTCCTTCCTTCCTTCCTTCCTGCCTTCCTTCCAAGGAGCTCTAAGCGGTGCACATGGTCTGTGTGCGTCTTCCTCGCCTGCGTTCTTATCCTCGCAGCAACCCTCTGAGGTGGGCTAGGCTGAGAAGCAGCGACTGGCCCAATGTTCCTCAGTGGGTCTGCCCTACTTTCCCAAAGGCGCTTTGCTGTCCTTACTCTCTGCATTCATGTCCCCCCTGTTCCTCCAAGGAGCTCAAGGCTCTCACCCACAAAACAGCCCTGCCAGGAAGGCTAGGCTGAGAGGCAGAGGCTGCCCCCCCCCAGGGGAGCTTCATGGGGGAGCAGGGGTTAGAAGCCTGGCCTGCCAGCCCCTTGTCCAGCCTGCTAACTGGCTCTCGGAGCCCCTCCTGGTCCCTCTGCGGAGTGGGGCCCTGGATGCCTGCCCCAGATGCTGACCCACAGAAGCTGGTGTCCTAATAAATTTGCCCATTAGAAAAGTTGCAGCAAGGGACTGTTTTTGCCACGGCAGATAAAGCCATAAATCTTTTGACGGTTTATCAACCTGTGTCCCCAAGTGCTGTTCAGCCCTGCGGACTGGAGAGCCCTGGCTCTGTCCTGTTCACACAAGCACTTGGCCGAGTGAGGGCACTTGCAGGATGTCCCGTGCTCAATTTCCAGAATCATGCAAGTCTAGAAGGCGGCGGGCAAAGTTGTGACTTGGGGGAACAATCAGAAACTCTTGTGGAACCTTAAAGGCCAAGAAATTTATTCCTGCGACTGCAGCTCACTCTGCCAGGTGCCAGAATTGAAATCTTAGTTGGGGGAAGCGGTATGGTGGGAGCAGAATGGCAAGGAGATGCAATAATTAGTCAGTGACAATTAAGGCTTAAAGGTAAAGGTAAAGGGACCCCTGACCGTTTCGCGGACGACTCTGGGGTTGCGCGCTCATCTCGCTCTATAAGCCAAGGGAGCCGGCGTTTGTCAGCAGACAGCTTCCAGGTATGTGGCCAGAAGGATTAAGCCACTTCTGGCAAACCAGAGCAGCGCACGGAAACACCATTTACCTTCCTGCTGGAGCGGTCCCTATTTATCTACATGCACTTTGGACGTGCTTTCGAACTGCTAGGTTGATTGGAGCAGGGACTGAGCAACGGGAGCTCACCCCATCACGGGGATTCGAACCTCCGACCTTCTGATCGGCAAGCCCTAGGCTCTGTGGTTTAGACTACAGCGCCACCCACGTCCCTTAAATATATTTTAAGGCTTAAATATATGTTAAACTGGCACAGCTTTAACCTTTTACAGTAGCAGGTTGGTGATAATTGACCTAGAAGCCACTGATGGACACTTTGCATTTGCCGCATGGAGTTATGGCAGGGCTGGCTCCAGGTTTTAAGTGGGGCCCAAGTGTTTGCTGGTGGGTGGCTTTCTCTGTCAGGTGGGCTTACCTGGCTGTGGGGACCAGCCTTCTAAGCACCTCTGGTTCTTAGATGCCTTTGAAAGATCCCAGAATGGTGTTAGGTCAGGTGCTGTGTGCAAAATTTTTAAGAAGTGGCTGTGTGTAGCCACAAGGCACCTATCAGTGTGCTCAGCTGGGGGGGGGATTACAGGGTGCATGGTGGGCATCCTCAGTAGGTCTTGCTGAAGTCCTGGGGCCCTGCCTATAAAGTGAGAGAAGAGTCCTTACATCAGATGCATAGCCCTGTGGCCTCTTGTTTAACAGCTAGCAGGATCCGGACGTGGAAAGGGCTCAGTGGCAGAACATCTGCTCTGCATGTTGAAGGTCATGCCACTCTTGTCAAAGCCCCAGAATATCTGAATGACTAAGACCATTGACACAAATGCCCCGGAGTTCCTTCTCCTCCTTCATGGAGCCCACCTGGCTTAGGAAACAAGCTAGGAAGTGGCTTGAACATGAGTGGAGAACTCCGGTCAGATTCTTGCTCTTGATGGGGTCACACTCCTTCTGAAGGAGCAGGTATGTAGCTTGGGGTCCTTCTGCTGTCACCTGAAGCTAAGGTGGCCTTGGTAGTGTGGAGCGCCTTCCATCAGCTTTTGTTGGTGGCCAGCTATGTCCTTATCTGGATGGGGAAAGCCTAACTTCTGTCAATAAATGCATAGTTCAGCCTCTGAAGATGGTTTGGAAACTTAAGCTGGTGCAGAATTTGGTGACCAGGTTGGGCTCACTGGGATGAGACCATTTGAGCGTGTTACACTGTGGGTGACCAAGTGGCACTGGCTGCCAGTTAGTCTCTAGGCCTGGTTCAAAGTGCTGGTTTCGGCCTCTACAGCCTAAATGGCTCAGGACTGCAGTACCTCAAGGACCTCAAGGGCTGCCTCTTCCCACACAAACTAACCTGGACCCCAAGATCACCCTCTGAGGCCCTTCTCCATGTGGCTCCTCCATGAGAGGTCCAGAAGGTGGCAACACAAGACGGGGCCTTTTCTGCAGTGGCTCCCCATTTGTGGGATGCTCTCCCCAGGGGGGAGGCTCGTCTGGCGCCTGCGTTCTATATCTTTAGGGGTCGGGTGAAAATGTTTTTCTTCAGCCAGGCATGCTATGTCCTTTTAAATTCTTTGTGGGAGGAAGGTTATTGGTTTGTTCTTTAGTGTTTTTTTAAAATGTATTTTGTGTTCTCATTTTGTATTTTTGTATTGTGAATTGCCAAGAGATTTTCGGATGAAATGCCATTATTATTATTATTATTATTATTATTATTATTATTATTATTATTGCTATTACAAAATCCTCTTTGGAGGAAGCTTCTCAGCTGTTTCCTCCTCCTCTTCCTCCTCTTCCTCCCTCCTCTTCCTCCCAGGTGGGTGATCAGATGAAGCTGCTGCAGAACTGCTGGAGTGAGCTGCTGGTCTTTGACTACATTTTCCGCCAAGTGCATCATGGGAAGGAGCACAGCATCCTGCTGGTGACAGGCCAGGAGGTAAAAGCATGAGTCTCTGCAGGTTCCGCAATGGCCCTGTTCAGAAATGCTGCAGCAAAATGTCATCGCGTGAAGTGCCACTGCTGTTGCTCGGGATTCTGGCCACTTCCTTTCCTTTCCCCATGCCCACCCCCCTTGTCTCATCGCCCCCCACCCCCAAAAGTTGGTCAGCCTTCTTTGCCCACTGGGCATCTGGGGTTTTTTGGGGTGTGTGTGTGGGGGGGCATTCCCTCCACATTCTTCCGCCCCAAAATCCCACCGCCCAGCATGGCTGGGACAGTTTTGGCCACATAAAAAACAGCAGATATGGAGGGCTGTTATTGCTGTGGGTAGATAAGAACGATGACTTGCCAGGAACGTACAGAGTGTAAGAGGACACAGGTCCCCTGCCCCACGGCAGAGGGAGATAGAGGCCGGGGGTGGGGGAAGAGAATTTGCAAGTACTCCATTGCACATATTTAGACTTTGGGTTGCAGTTCTCTGCACACTTACTTGAGAGGAAGCCTTGTGGGATGCTAAGGGACATCACTTGTGAGTCAGCCTGCGTTGGATCGCCTGGCTAGTTAGACTTTGGTTGTTATTACTTATCCTTCTGTGTACAGCCAGCACCCAGATATAACCATATTTCTTGTAATTTAGTCAACATCTCAGCCCATTAACTGCTGCCTTAACAGCTGCTGGCTCAAAAGTCTTTCTGGTGGAGGTCGTCCCCCACCGCCCAGCTCTTGAACATCCTTGTTCCCCTGACAAGATGGTACTTTTCGGGGGTCCTGAACCCTGCCCACCTCTCCTTTCTTCCAGGTGAACATGTCGACTGTCACCATGCAGGCGGGATCCATCCTGAACAACTTGATGCTGAGAGCGCACCAGCTGGTGGCTCACTTCCATTCTCTCCAGGTGGACAGGCAGGAGTTTGTCTGCTTGAAGTTCCTCATCCTCTTCAGCCTTGGTAAGTGCGGAGGGGAGGGGCGTGGGTGGGGCAGCGAGGGACCTGGGAAGAGCAAGCAGGGGCTGCCATGGAGAGCCCCCTCCCACCCTGGGATCTCAACCACAAGAGGTGTTTGGAGGAGACTGGCTTTGCTTGTGGGTTCGTCTGTCTGGCGGATGGGGCTGGAAGCCCCCTTGGTCTTTGCTTTCTCCCCACTGCCAGAAGGACGTTTTAAGAGCATGGTTGCTGGATCAGGCCCGTCGAGTCCAGCCTCTTCCTCTCACAGTGCCCAGGCAAGCAGGCCTTAAGCAACGAGGGCCCCACCCCCGACCTCTTGCGGCCTCCAGCAGCTGGTAAACTGGAACATTGCTGGACAGGCCTTTCCAAAAACATGGATGTTGGCGGTCTCCTTGAGCGCGTTGTTGAGAGCTGAGGCCATGAAACAGTTACTGTTCATCTGTGTTTGTGCCCCAAAGAATTCAGGGACAGCCTCGAATGTGGTCAGCCATTGGAGATTACAGCCTATCGCCCAGAGGAACTGTGCACAACTTCTGACCTTGACAGGGAAATGTGGGAGTGCGGTCTGCAAAGGAGTCAGTTTTGTCTTGACTGGTACCTGCCTCTGATCCCTGCCCCCAAAAGACCCCTTCTTTCTGCTCAGAAGTTGATTTGCACCAGTTCAGGCAGCCTTGCCTCCCACCCCCCTGCGCATGGCAGTGGAGCAGGGCCGCCTGTGTGGGTGTGAGCGACACTTCCGCCCCCTCCACAACCTCTCCTACAAATGGTTGCACCGGCAGTGGTTGAGGGTGGTATTGGCTGCCTTTGCTAGGCCTGCCAGGTTGCGCACCAGCCCTGGGGCGGCAGGGGTCAAGCAGTGACCGTTTCTGCACTGGGAAGTTAGTGCTGAAGTCTCAGGCTGTTGGTCTGTCCGTCCCAGCATTGCCTACACTGACCGGCAGCAGCTGCTGCTCTGTGGGGTCTCAGGCTTGCGGTTTTATCCCAGCCTCTACCCACAGAATGCCATTTGGCAGCTGAACCCAGCGACTGAAATGCAGAGCTTCTGCCTGCGCTGTGGAAGTGCTCAGCGCTGCCGTTCTCTGAGGGAAATGACACCAGCAGCAGTATCCTTCCTGGACGTCGGCCAAAGCTGTAGTCCAGGCTCCTTTTCAGAAAAAAGGTTCAGAAAAGTTTCCTCCTTCCAGCAAATGCTGTGTTTGCCAGTTTCATGCCTAAAACCCGCCCGGGATTCTGTACCTGAATGCAAATCAAGCCTCTTTATTTTGCATAAATCGAGGCTGGATGAGACCAGTGGCAACCTCCTGTTTCCACATTGTCCAGCCAGGTGCCCTGGTGGAAAAACCACAACCAGGGCTCTTTCCACCTCTCCTCCTCCACCCCCCCATTCAATTCACCCTCTATTCTTATGAGGCAATAATCAATATTTATATTTATGGACATATTTTAAGCTGATTTTGCCCCCCCCCATTGCTTGCACGTCTGGCGGGGGCCCACCTCACCACCCCCTAGCTATGGACCTGCCTCCCCTCAGCCAGTTATGACCCAGCTGCAGAGTGGCCCAGCTGTGAAACCGTTCGATGCTTCATTCTGTACGGCATCCCTCTAGGGACACTTCCTGCAGTGGTCAAGAGACCAGGGTATGGAAGTCAGAACCGCCAGTTAAAGGTTGCAACTTGAGCAATAATGGAAATTAAGAACTGGTCTAGACACGCGCAGCTCTTCTAGCTCCTTGATCTTGAACTCAAAGCTCCATAAACAGGCAAGAGAACATTGCAGGTTTGGCTGCTTCGGATTTAACACACTCAAAAGATTCTAAATACCACCAATTCCCTGCCTTGTCCCTTAGCCACATGGTGCAAAGTGAAAGGAACTGCAGCCGTCCCCACTCCCAAAGAGGTTTCAAGCCCCGGAACTGAGCAAAGGCAGCAAACAGGGTTCTCTCCACACAACTGGAAGGCAGAGACACCTCTGCTTCTGACTGTGGAAGTGGAGCAAAACCATTAGAACTAGTGGCCTTTGATAGCCCTCTCCTCCTCCTCCTCCTCCTCCTCCTCCTCGACTTTTTCCAGTCCTCTTCTAAAGCCATCTAAGTTGGTGGCCGTCCTGGGGGAGAGAGATCCATGGTTTAATCATGCACTGTGTGAGGAAGGGCTTCCTTTCCTCCTTCCAGAAGAATTCTGGGTCAAATGATCTTCTCCAGAGCATATAAGATTCCACCTAAAGATTAGGAAGAACTTCCTGATGGTAAGAGCTGTTCGACAGTGGAATTTGCTGCCAAGGAGTGTGGTGGAGTCTCCTTCTTTGGAGGTCTTTAAGCAGAGGCTTGACAACCACATGTCAGGAGTGCTCTGATGGTGTTTCCTGCTTGGCAGGGGGTTGGACTCGATGGCCCTTGTGGTCTCTTCCAACTCTATGATTCTATATAAGACAAGCTCTGCACTTGGGTCAGGCCCGATGGGGCCCATCGAGGCCAGAACCCTGGTCTCACAGATGCCCCAATGGGCAGCCCATGGGCAGGACCTGAGTGCCAGCGCACTCTCGCCTCCTGTGGGTTTTCAGCAACTGGTGTTTCTCTTTGGCTTCGCGGCAAAGGACCCTCCCACCCGCCTCCATGATGCCTTCCCTTCCCTTTTTGCGCATTGCGTTAAAACTTCCAGCTGCCGGTGTGGAAGCTTTTCTCCTTCCCCGAAGAAAACCAGGAACAAAAGGTTGCCCTCTGCCCATGCCCCGTGCCCAACTTCCCTCTCTGAGCGTGGTGCCGATTATGCTGCAAGCTGTGTGCCCTCGGCTGTACGGGAGCTGCCACCTCTTCGCTTATATATGCCGGCTGCATTTGCCCTGAAGAAAAGAATGTCTTCTCTCTCTCTCTCTCTCCCTCCAGCTCACAATCTGCACTTGGCATCTGTGTGTATGTGTGTGTTTGTGTGTGTGTGTGTGTGTGCATGCACAAACACAGGCGTGCGAGAGCGGGGAGGAAAGGGCGCCATTTGAGTCTAAATAGATTTTTCTCCTGAGCAGGTAAAAGAGGTTTAATTAAAATTAGGGCTTCTCTGAACAGCAATATTTATGAGGGACGGCACAGGTTAGCTTTGTTCTCCAGAAGGGCTTAATAGAAGCTTAATGGATTGACCCCCCCCCTCCACACGCGCCCGCCTGACTTCCATTCTCCAGCCAGCCACTTGAAGGGATGCGGAGCAAGAGCGGCTTTTATGCGCCTGCATTCCCTTAAGCGATTGCAATTTATCAGAAGCCTCCAGCAGACAAAAGCGGCGCTGAATGCAAAGAACTCTTGAGGGCATAGAAATTGTCCCGGCAGCTCCGCCTGTGTGTGGGGCGGCTTTTGTCACAGGACGGAGTCTTTGCAGCCGCTCTCTCAATGGAGCGCGTCGATGTTATTTGGACAACATTCTTTATGCCTTGCAGGAATGAAAAGATTATTCAAATATTCAATTAAACCGTGAATAGGGTTTCTTCTGCAAACCAGGTGAGTTGATCAAGATGAACCCTCTATTGTTGCTCCACCTCAAAGTGTGTGGGGTGGGTGGGGGGGCGGGGTGGTAGGGAAGAGAAGGCTTCGGCAGCGTAACTTCTAGGGTGTGCGAGTGCTGCGTGTCCCCCTCCCCCTCTTTCTCCTGGAAACGAAAACCACGATAATGTTATGCAGATGAAGAGATTCCATAATTGCGTGCCTGATTATCCCAGCAGTGACTCAGAAATGAAAGGAGGCAGTCAGCACTTCAGGTGCTAAGCGCAAGGCCCAGGTCAGGGGAACGTGGAAAAAGCCCTGAGGCAGGATGGGGCCCGTGGCCCTCCCAGACCTGCAGTCTGTTCTCCCAGTGGCCAGTGAGACGCCCATTATGGGAAACCCATAAGCAGCGGCCAAGTGCCAGAGAGCGCCTTCTCCCCTCCTCCTGTTTCCACCTGTGGGTCCCCAGGTGTTGTTGAACTACAACTCCCATCATCCCTGAGCTCTGGCCTCGCTAGCTAGGGGTGATGGGAGTTGTAGTTCAACAACATCTGGGGACCCACAGGTTGAGAAAGGCTGATACAGTGGTTCTCCACCTGTGGGTCTCCAGATGTCGTTCTAATCCTCTTGGAAAGCCGTCCATGTCGGTGGCCATCCCTGCCTCCTGCAGGAGGGAGTTCCATAGTTAAACTCTTCTCTGTGTGAAGAAGTACCGTATATTTCGCTCTATAAGACGCACCAGACCACAAGACGCACCTAGTTTTGGAGGAGGAAAACAAGAAAAAAATATTCTGAATCTCAGAAGCCAGAACAGCAAGAGGGATCGCTGCGCAGAGAGAGCAGCAATCCCTCTTGCTGTTCTGGCTTCTGGGATAGCTGTGCAGCCTGCATTCGCTCCATAAGACGCACACACATTTACTTTTTAGGAGGGAAAAAGTGAGTCTTACAGAGCAAAAAATACGGTATTTTCTTTGATCTGTCCTGAATCTTCCAACTTTCAGCTTCGTTGGCTATCCCTGAGTTTTGGCGTGAGGAGAGAGGAAGAAAAGTTTTCCTCTGCCCGCTTTCTCTGTGCCACGTGTAATTCTATGAGCATCGATGTTGCTGCTGCCTCTTTCTCACTTTCCCTCTACACAAGAAAGTCCCAATTGCTGCAACCTTTCTTCACAGGGGAGTCCCTACGTCCCCAGTGAACTTTGGGCTTCCAAATTTCAGTGGCGCCCTGTGCAATGCCAAAATCCAGCCCCCCCATTGCCTTCCATTTCACATTGTTGCAGCACTCGCCACGGTGCCCTCTCAGCTCAGCGCCCAGTGCAGAGAAACTGGTTGCGCTCCCCTAAATCCAGCTTTGCCATTCCCTCATCCTTTGGGTTGCCCTTCTCCGAACTTTTTCCAGTTGCACATCCCTTTTTGAGGCCATGGCACCAGAAGTGTTGCACCACAGATTTGTCCAATGCCATTGTGATACTGGCACTCCACCTTTTGGGAAGACCTTGTTGGCCTTTAGTTGGGCTGGGCCCAGAACTTGGCACGGCTGAGAGAAGCAAGTCCTGAGTGTTTTATAGGGATGAGAGCCATGCAGTCCTCTAACTGCCATCAGCCCTGGCCAGCCTGGTCAGGGACTATGGGAGCTGTGTGTCCAGCAATGCTTTGAGGTGCAGAAGGCCACCCAGAACTGCTTTGCAGAGGACACAAGGGCAGGTCTCTGCCCCAAGGACCCTGCAGCCTACAATTCTACCCAGGTGGGATGCAGCAGGAAGCGATATGTTGTTGTTGTTGTTGTTGTTTTCAGTTACAGGTGGTTAGGCTCGGTTGTATCCCATGGGAACTGTGTACAAGCCTTAGAGCGAGGTATTTAAACCAGCCCTTTCTTCAGAACCCTGAGGACTGAAATCTCACTGCTTCTTTTTAAGGGAAGTGCTGTCGTTTTGCAGGAGAGCACCTTCTTCACCTGCAGGAGGTCCCAGGTTCAGGGCTTGGAATGTGCTTTGCCTGAGGCTCTGGAGCTCTGCTGTCCTTCAGTGCCAGCAAACTCCAGTTTCATTGGAGTTCTCTTGTTTTGAGAGAGGGAGAAAAACTTCTCTCTTTCCTCTGTGCCTTCCATCATTTTATACACTTTATATGCCACGCTGCCTCTTACTCACCTTTCCTCCAAATCAAAAAGTCCCCAGGGCTGCAACCTCCATCCATGGCTCCACCCTCACCTTGGTCATTCTGACGGCCCTTTTCCGAACCTTTTCTATTGCTTCAATGCCCTTCCCGCCCCACCGCCGAAACGGGAAAAGTGCTTATAAACACATACATACAAAAAACCCCAAACCCAAACAGATTTATTTATTTAAAAAGATCAGCAGCCACAAGCGCAACTAAAATGGTTATATCCACTGATTTGATACATAAAGACACTTAATACATAAAGGCACTTAAGTTATTTCGGGGAAAAACCCTTGTATCAACTTATATGCCGAATGATCTTACACCTTCACAACAATCAGGTTTGGATGGTCTTTCAGAATTACGGGTGGAATCTTAATGTTTAAGGGTATCAGAAGACAGTGTCCAGAGGTCCAACATTTTTGAAACGATGACCATTTTTTTCATGGTTTCAGCCAAACCCACAGTGGAGGAGCTACAAGTACGACTCCACCTCCTCAGACAAATAGCATCAAAACATTCCTTTTGGTAGATTTATAAATCTCTTCATAGGTTTCTTCATCCATTTCTATTGTTGTCACAGTCTCCTCAACATCACCCAAAATCTTATTTAAGTGCTGGTCACAAGCATGTAATCTGCCTCGAAGTTGTCGGTCATTTCTCATTTTCACATCAATTCGTTCATCAAGACCAATGAGATCCAAGGGCTCTTCTACAGTATTTGTGGTTTGTTGCTGCTCCACCTCGTCCGCCATTTTTTCAAAGCCCCTTCAATGCCCTTTGGGAGGTGAGGCCAGAATTCTGTGGTTCTAGGCTGAGTGATGGGAGTGAGAGGGAGGGAGGAGAGGTTTTGGTGGCACCCCCAGAGCGCCCGCTGTGTCTTCCCAGTTAGCCTTGAAAAGGCTCTGCCTCATCTCCCCCTTGGGAGCGTGGCAAGAACAGGTGGCTGCCCACCATTGAGCTGGAGCCCTCTCCCACTGCTGTTGCTTGGCCCCTGTGGCCACGCTCAGCGGATGAAGTCAGGCCCAAGGAAGGACGCTGGCACTGGCAGCTTTTGCCGAGTTTTCAAGAGCAGTGTACACGAGCAGGCACATTTTCAGGCAGGTGCACAGCTTAAGAGGGATATGCTTATCGCTACACCTTCACACCTGTCTCTCTCATCCTCCTACCCCTTGCTTTTTGGCTGAGCTGCTTCAGGCACCTTGGATCACGGTTTCCATGTCAGCTGAGCCCTGCTGTCACCTGGGAAGGCCAAACAGATTAAGCCCCAATCCCTCCAGCCGGTGTTTAGAGAGGAACACAGCAGAGCGGCTTTGAAGTGAAGGTTTGTTTAGGGAACACCATAATGCAAGAAGAACTGATTGTCCGATACGGTTTGTTTATCTCGCATAGCCTTTACCAGCCTGATGCTCATCAGCAAAGCATAAGGCTGGCAAGGTCAGGCAGATGAAGCTTATGAAGGTAGGAAGAGCCATTAGCTGGATCAGGCCAAGGTGCTATCTAGTCCTCTTCTCACAGTGGCTGACTAGATGCTTGTGGGAAACCAGCAGGCAGGATCCTTGCACAAGAGCAGGTCTCCTCTCCTGTGTTCTCCTGCATCTGGTATTCAGAAGCCTCGCTGCCTCTTGACCATGGAGACACAGCGCAGTAACTGTGGCTCCTCTCCTCCTCCTCCATGGATTTGTCCAAACCTCCATCAAGGCTCCTCAAGTTGGAGGCCATCATTGCCCCCTGTTGGGACGCGGGTGGTGCTGTGGGTTAAACCACAGAGCCTAGGACTTGCCGATCAGAAGGTCGGCGGTTCGAATCCCCCCGACGGGGTGAGCTCCCGTTGCTCGGTCCCTGCTCCTGCCAACCTAGCAGTTCGAAAGCACTTTAAAGTGCAAGTAGATAAATAGGTACCGCTCTGGCGGGAAGGTAAACGGCGTTTCTGTGCGCTGCTCTGGTTCGCCAGAAGCGGCTTAGTCATGCTGGCCACATGACCCGGAAGCTGTACACCGGCTCCCTCGGCCAATAAAGCGAGATGAGCGCTGCAACTCCAGAGTCGGCCACGTATCTGGACCTAATGGTCAGGGGTCCCTTTACCTTTACCGCCTCCTGTGGGGGGGGTTCCATAGTTTAATGTTGCGCTACATGAAGAACTACTTCCTTTTCTCTGCCCTGAATCTCCCAACATTTAGCTTGGTTGGATGTCTACGAGTTCTGGCGTCATCAGGCGAGGGGGGGGGAACTCTGCTTTCTCCACACCACATGCAATTGTATATGCTTCCGTCAGGTCACATCAAGTCCCCTTTTCTCTTTTCCCCTGTGAGCTTCTCCATCAACCTCCGCCGTTTTGCAGATATCAGCCAATGGCTTGTGCGAGCTTTGCAAGGGACACCTTCCATGCCTGTGTGCCCAGGAGGAAGTCCCTCCGTTCAAGAGAGCTTACCCCATTCAATGCATGTCCCCCCTTATTTCCCCTCCTCCCCCCCCCGCTGCAGATGTGAAATACTTGGAGAATTCCAGTGTGGTGAAGGAAGCCCAGGAGAAGGCTCACGCAGCCCTGATGCAGTACACCGTCTGCAACTACCCGCACGCCACAGACAAGTTCCGCCAGCTTCTGATGCAGCTGTCTGACATCCGGTCCCTGAGCATGCAAGCGGAGGAGTACCTGTACCACAAGCACCTGAGCGGGGACGTGCCCTGCAACAACCTCCTGATTGAGATGCTTCACGCCAAGCGGAGTTGAGAGCGCCCAGAAAGGCTCTCCATCCCCCGTTCGTCTGGGGAAGAGACTCATGGCAGCAGAGGGGCAAGGGTGGTGGCAGGGAGGATTGGAGGGGTGCGTCGGGTGACAGGGAGGAAGGGTGAGTGTCTCGTCTCCCCCTCCCCACAGGCGACCTCTCCCAGTTCCGACTTTCCTACAGAGCCCAACCCTTGCCTGCCTTCTGGTGTGATTCCTCCCGAGTCCCAGGCTCTCGCTCTCTAAAAGCCATGGGGCTCAGCTGTGTGGGGACTGCCCTTGGAGGCCGTCTAGGGGACACTTTGGGTGGGAGTTTGTTTTCCTAACTGGGCGGAAGAGAGGTCTTCTCCCAGGGTGTGTGAGAGTGGAGGCACCTGCCCAAGCTCTCCACCTGTTCTCCAGGCATGGTCCTCTAGCTAGGTGGCTGGGAAAAGAGAGAAAAAGGCCCAGCACAGCTACCCATTGGAAGGCCTGCACCTCACCTCACCTGTCCCTCTGCAGGTAGTGGCCTTGTTGGCCACAAGGATGATTTCTGTGGCCCATGGGCCACCACGAGAGTGAGTTTGTTGTGCCTCAGATACACTGAAGCCCCTCTTCCCCTTGGGGCTTCATTTTGGGAGACCTTTCTCCGAGGCCTTGCAGCTATGAGTTGAGCAAGTCAGGTGCTCCTTTTATTTTGATTTTGTTATCTGTTTATTGCATTCATATATCTATATATATCTATATATATCCTTCCCCCTCCCGTGCACATCACATTCCCTGAGCCTCTACTCTGCGTTGGGAGGATACGACAACCGATGTTTGTTTCCTGAATGTATTTTTGGCCGTTGTACCTTTGGAGCAGGTGCTCAGGTCGTCTTTCTGTGTGCTTCCTGGGGTGGGGTCTTCCTTCGTCTGCCGCTGGACACAACCACTACTTTGGCTGGACAAATAGACCCAGCTGGAAGCACTGCTTGCCCAGCCCACGACCTAAGCAGCTCTTACTACCCCGAGTGGTTTGATGGAGACCCAGACACACGTGCCCCTCTCACAGGGCTTCCCCATCTCCTTCTGAGGAGCATCACACCAGGGTGTGACCCACAGACACCAGTGTGCTTGTGGGGCTTGGGAGAAGAGGCTGCAGTCCTGTACAGTGGTACTTCTGGTTATGTACTTAATTCGTTCCGGAGGTCTGTTCTTAACCTGAAACGGTTCTTAACCTGAGGTACCACTTTAGCTAATGGGGCTTCCTGCTGCCAGTGCACTGCCATTGCACGGTTTCTGTTCTCATCCTGAAGCAAAGTTCTTAACCCAAGGTACTATTTCTGGGTTAGCGGAGTCTGTAACCCAAAGCGCCTGTAACCCGAGGTACCACTGTATTGCAATATCTTTTTGAGTGTTTTTGTCAGGGAGGCTCCGCAGCCTTTGCCAATCCTATGCCCCAGCTACTGGGACTGCATCTTATGTGCATCTAATCTGGTGTGATTTCAACCATACACGGTTGAAGGTCGGCTGATTCAAATTTCAATATTTAAATCCAGGCAAGGATCTTAAAACCCCTTTTTGTGCCATGTCTGCTTGGGCTTACCTGGCAGGCAATGTGCTTTCACACTCTCTGCTTCAGTTGGGGAGCTCTGGTTTTCGTCTACATGAAACTACTGATTTGGATCACCTGGAGTTTAGTCTTGTTGGCCTTCCAGAGGGCCTGCTGTGGTTTGGTACGAGCCCTCCTGGAACATGGCTTGAACCCCCGAGGACATTAGAACTGTAAAGTTGGAAGGGCCATCTAGTCCAGCCCCCTGCAGGGCAGGGGATCTCAACTACGTCATACATGACAGGTGGCCACCCAACCTCTGCTTAAATATACCTCCAAGGAAGAAAGTGTCCAGCATCTCTCACAGAAGTCTGCTCCACTGTCAAGCAGCTGTTACTGTCAGGAAATTCTTCTTGATATTGAGTTGGAATATCCTTTCTTCCAACTTGAATCCATTGGTTTGGGTCCTAACCTTTGGAGCTGGAGGAAACAAACTTGCTCTGTCCTCCATGTGACAGCCCTGGAGTTATTTGAAGATGGTGAACTCTCAGTCTCCTCTTCTCCAGGCTAAACATACCCAGTTCCAACAACCGCTCCTCATAAGGCTTGGCTTCCAGACCTTGTGTCATCTTGGTCACCATCCTCTGCACATGTTCCAACTTGTCAACATCCTTCCTAAACTGTGGAGCCCAGAACAGGACGCAGTCTTCTCAGTGTGGTCTGACCAAGGCAGAATAGAGAGGGACTATGACTTCCCTTGATCTGGACACTAGACTTCTGATAACTCAGCCTAGAATAGCTTCGGTTTTTTTGCTTCTGCATCACACCGTTGACTCATGATAAACTTGTGGTCTTCTAAGACCCATATATCCTTTCCCCATATATTACTTAGCCCCCCTCTTATATTTGTACAGCTGTTTCTTCCTACCTAAGTGTAGAAGCATATATTTGTCCCTATTGAAATTCATTTTGTTAGTTTTGTTAGTTCTTTGATATGTTAAAGTCATCTTGAATCCTGAGTCTGCAGCATTAGCTATCCCTCCCCACCTGCCGATTCCTTAATCCAAGTCATTTATAAAGACGTTGAACAACAACAGGACAGAACCCTGTGGAACACCACTTGTCACTTTGTTCCAGCATGGTAAGGAACCATTAGTGAGCTCTCTTTGGCTTTAGTCGGTCAACCAGCTACAGATCTACAGCCCACGTTTACCAGCTTATCTGCAAGACTATCATGGGAGACTTTGTCAAAAGCCTTACTGAAATGAAGATATATTATGTCCACAGCATTCCCTGGATCCACCAATGCTGTAACTCGATCAAGATCAGAAATTAGATTCGTCTGGCATGACTTGTTTTTGAGAAACTCATGCTGGGTCTTAGAAATCACAGCATCCTTTTCTAAGTGCTCACAGATTGACTGTTGAATTATCTGTTCTAGGACCTTTCCTGGTATCAATGTCAAGCTCACTGGTCAGTGGTTACCGGGTCTGCTTTCCCTCTCTTTGAAGATGGGGACACCTCCAGTCTGTAGGGACCTCACCTGTCCTCCAAGAATTCTCAAAGATCATAGACAGAGGCTCTGAGATCACATCTGCAAGCTCCTTTGGTACTCTTGGGTGCAGCTCATCAGGCCCTGGAGATCTGAATTCATTTAAAGTAGCCAGGTGTTCCCTTACCATCTCTTTTCCTATCTTGGACTGCAGCTCCCTCCCTCCATCATTGATTCAGTTAGAACCAGGTTGAGCATCGCTTTCCTTGTGGGTGAAGACAGAGGCAAAGTAGGTGTTGAGTAGTTCCGCCTTCTCTCTTGTCATCCAATAGCATTTCCCCATCTTCTCCATGCAGAAGATCCTCCACTGGCTTGTTCTTCCTCTTGCTTTGAAAACAGTAATAAAATGTCAGGAATGACTCACTTGTTTTATAGCAGAGGCTGCACCAGATGAAGGCAGGGCTTCCGTGTTTGTTTTCTCCTTGCTCCCCTTTTCTCAGCGAAAGCACTCAGGCCCACCCACCCACCCTTGCCCTGTGACCGAGTGGAGCTCCTCTCTGATCTGGGTTTGGTGGCGCCCCATCAGAGCCAAGCCACAGCTCTGTGGAGGAGCAGCTGTGAGGCTGTTGTGTGCCTTCCCACCAGACCTTTGCAGAGCCTTTGATGAAGAAGCCTTCAGACGCTTTGACAGTGCTGCTGTGATTCGCTTCATCCCCCCCCCCCTGTGGGTTTTGATTACACTGCTGCATTTTCTGCTCCACATATAATGTTTGGACTAATTTTGTGTGTCTCTTCTGGTTTGAAAGAGTTGGAGAAGACTGCTTGGAAGTGCCAAGCACTGCCTGTATTATGTTTTTTTCTCCTTATGAAATAAAAAGTGCTCTTAAGTGTCTCCCTTCTCAACATTTTACTCAGAATGTCCTTCTGAGCATTGGTTAGTGGTGAACTATCTTACCAAATAAGACATTCCAATAAATTTTTCAATTCACTTATAGCTCTGTGTGTGTGCGTGTTTTCTTTTCCTCCCCTCCTCAAAAAAATTTTGCATCTTTGGTTGGGTACCATTCAGGGCGGTGTGGAGAAAGGCGCTCCGCACCTGCTCAGAGACTCTGCTCAATTTATCATTACATTACAGGTTCAGTGCTGAGTCCTGCCATGAGAGCATGATATGGGTGCAAGAAGTTTCCACCAGCAGGGCCACATCCCTGTCTCTGCACATTTCTCTCCCTCTCTGAAGGACATCTTTTGGCAGCTGATGGTAGGCAGGCTATTTACAGGCCTCCCGGATCGTGTCCTCACAAGTGAGCCTGGGAATAGCAGCAGTTTTGGGGGAGTTTGCTCAGTCATGTAACACTTGAGGCAATTCTTATGCATGGACAGTTGGCCGACTCTGTATGGAAAGGCAGGCGCGTGCGCGCGCGCGCACACACACACACACACACACACACGACACCACCCTCCTCATAATCCTCAGCTAAAGACTCATTAGTCTCCTGCACTAATTGGCTTCAGTGGGCAAACGCTGGCCTTCTGCAATGGCATTTGCCTGGGCACCAAAATTAAAATACGAGCCGCCATTTTTTCAGTGCAAGGACTGGAAAGTGGCTGGACAGGCAGGAGAAGCAGAAAGCTCTTCCCACAGATGATGGACAGCAAATGTTTCTGGGGGAAGAGGCTGACTGTGATAAGGCACCTGGCTTGAGTCCATCTGGGATGTGTGTGTGGGGGGGTCCCACATTCCTCCCAGAAGGAAGTCTGGGACAAAATCTGCGCTGGGAGTTTGGTGGGGGCAGGAAAGAGGCAAGCCAAAAAGGAGGTGGTTGATACGAAGGCAGAGCAGCAGAAAGAGGAGGCGGTTGGGTCTGGTGCTGTGGCCACAGATGCTCCCACTCTGCCTCATCCCCCATGAAGGTTTCTGTGTTGAAACTGGAGCTGCACCACCAGGGACAAGAATCTTGTGGCTTAGCCCTTAGCAGGAAGCGGGGATGGGAATTGGGAGTCAGTGGCGTAGCGTGGGGGGTGCAGGGGGGGCCGGCCGCACCGGGCGCAACATCTGGGGTTAGGGCAAATCCACAGGTTAGGGGGCGCAAATCCACGGGTTAGGGGGCGCAAATCCACGGGTTAGGGGGCGCAAATTACTTGCCTTGCCCCGGGTGCTGACAACCCACGCTACGCCACTGTTGGGAGTCCAGGGCTGGTGAACCAGTGGATGTTCCTGGCTTCCAAATCTCGCCACCCCGTCTCTTTCTGTGTTCCTTAAGAAATCAATCTTTTAGTGCAGTAACACCCCCTTGGGAACTCCGTGACTCTTGGCGACAGGCAAACACCTTCCCAGCATCCCTTTTGGTATCTGCCAGAAAAACCTTTCTCTTTCAGACAAACCCAACCGGATGTGCAGTGTGCTTAAGGTAAAGGTAAAGGTACCCCTGCCCGTACGGGCCAGTCTTGACAGACTCTAGGGTTGTGCGCTCATCTCACTCTATAGGCCGGGAGCCAGCGCTGTCCGCAGACACTTCCGGGTCACGTGGCCAGCGTGACAAAGCTGCATCTGGCGAGCCAGCGCAGCACACGGAAACGCCGTTTACCTTCCCGCCAGTAAGCGGTCCCTATTTATCTACTTGCACCCGGGGGTGCTTTCGAACTGCTAGGTTGGCAGTGTGCTTACATGTGCTTTAATCTGTTTTCGCTGGTTTTATTGATTGTGTTTTAATCTGGTTTTAGTTTATAATTGATATTCTTCCCCCCCCCAAATGTTGTAAACAGTTGCTTTTAACATTTTTTGGCCCGTGATTTCATTCTTTTTGTAAACCTCTCCTCCCCCTTTTTTCAAATCAAGCAGTATATACATTTAAACCAACACCTGACCAGCCTACATGGTGATTTAAGGCTGATGTTCCCCCGCTACTGTTCTAAACAAGCAGCCTCTCAAAATCCTCTGCCCACATTTGTGAGCAAAGAAGTTTCCCTAGGGGGAGGGGAAATTCCCAAAAATTTTCTGCAGCGGGTGGAGTTCAACACATGTTCTCTCACCTGTTTGCAAGCCAGTACGTTACAGTAGTTAAGAGTGCTGGACTAGGAATTGGGTGACCAGCATTCATATCCCCCACTTGGCTATTATTATTATTATTATTATTATTATTATTATTATTAACACCCCCTCCTTTCCCCCTAACAAAACTCAAGGTGGCTTACAGATAAAAATAAGAACCGCTAAAAACATAGAAAGAACAATCATTAAAAGCCAATTAAACATTGATAGAAATGTGTGTGTGTATTAATACTATACCAATAATTGCAGCAAAACCAGCACAGCACCAGCCCTTTCCTTAAAAGCAGTCAGTTCCCCAAAGCCTGTAGGAACAAGAAAGCCTTCACCTACCGGGATGGAAGGACAACAAGGAGGGAGCCAGTCTGGCTTCACTGGGAAGTGGGTCTCAGAGTCACCCCTGAGAAGCAGCCCCTTGTCCCCACAGTATCCTGGATGCAAAGGCATTGCTGGGAATGATGATGGGAGGCAGGGGCAGTGGTGGTGGCACCACTCAGTGAGCCCCATGTAAACAATTGAGTGATATGCAGAGAAAATTCTGCAAAGGACTATTGCAATGCGCTCTACGTGGGGCGAACATTGAAGATGACCCGGAAACTGCAACTAATCCAGAATGTGGCAGCTAGACTGGTGACTGGGAGCGGCCTCCGGGACCACATAACACTGGTCCTGAGAGATCTGCATTGGCTCCCAGGATGTTTCCAAGCACAATTCAAAGTGTTGGTGCTGACCTTGAAAGCCCTAAACGGCCTCGGTCCAGTAGACCTGAAGGAGCGTCTCCACCCCCATCATTCTGCCTGGACACTGAGATCCAGCACCGAGGGCCTTCTGGTGGTTCCCTCATTGCGAGAAGCAAAGCTACAGGGAACCAGGCAGAGGGCCTTCTCGGTAGTGACGCCCGCCCTGTGGAACGCCCTCCCACCAGATGTCAAGGAGATAAGCAGCTATCTGACTTTTTAGAAGACATTTGAAGGCAGCCCTGTTTGGAGAAGTTTTTAATGTTTGAAGTTTTATTCTGTTTTTAGTGTTCTGTTGGAAGCCGCCCAGAGTGGCTGGGGAAACTCAGCCAGATGGGCGGGGTATAAATAATAAATTATTACTATTATTATAAAGGGGCCTTCTCTTTGGGGGCATGAGAAAAAGGAAAACCTCAGAAATGTCCTCAATTCTGAGGAATTCCTCCCACTCACCCACTTCCCTCTAGTTTCGACAGAGGCCTTTGCTGGGCTCTCTGGGAAGGCAGGGCAGGAGGCTAGCAGGGGCCGACCATGTGGCTCAATGGCCACTGAGCAGATCAGTCTGCTTCCCCACCCCTTGCCAAGCAATGACCTCAGCGCTGGAGAGAGGGAGAGGGCGAGAGCGCCAGTAGTGGGATGGGGCCCATGCCGACCCCCCCCCCCGATAAAATCTGCCTGCCAGGCCTCTCAGGCACTATCAGACTCCGGGTCTCCAAGGCCAGTGGTCAGGAAAGGTTGGGAGATAGGAACACCTGGGGCTCCACGTCACATGCTGGCTGGGGCTGAAGGGAGTTGGGAGCCCAAAAAGAGATTAAGAGGCACAAGTGTCCCCCCCCATCCCTCTTCAAAGCCACATTCCACCACGTTTCTAGTTATGGAAGGTGTTCTATCTGGGCTATGTTTTTAGACAGGTGTGGGGGACCCCTGGCACTCCAGGTCAGGAGAGCTGCTTTAAAGTCTCGTGCGAAAGCATGAGGCAGAGCTGAATGGAAGTGTTTGCTTTCCAAATCCCACGAATATGACACTGCACTGTTTTGAGTTTCGTTTTCTTTCCTGCCAAATTTCAAGGCGGGAGGAAGAGGGCCATGACTCATTTCTACTTTAATTTTTTTTGGCAACGGGACTTTTCTCGGACCGAGATAGGCTGGTGGTGGAACAGCCTGCAAAACTTTTAGCTGGCCATACGGGCTGCTTCGAGTCACAAGCTGCTGGATTTTTTACCTGCTGGCTTGAATTCTTGTTGTTTGGTGTATCCAGTGTATCCAGCTGCAAGAGCTGGGCACTGGTGCAAATGAACCACTACCTGTGACTGCTCTGGTTCACACGTGATGCTAAGCCAAGCCAGCGCACAGGGAGGAGACTGTGACTGCTCTGCTCATCCTCTGATCTTGGTGGCTGAATCACTGCCACCAGCAAGGATGAGACCTGGATGAGGCTGCATGCGTGGTCTCATCCAGACAAGCCACAAGCTGTAATAAACCATGATCGAGGTTTGCTTAGTGTCACGAGCAAATTGTCCCCCCCTCCCTCTCTCTGGGGGTGGTGGGGTGGTGGCACGATCCTAATCACATTCCAAAGCAACAGCCCAGAAACCTTAGTAGTTATCCTGAAAGTTTAATAAACCCCACTTTCCCTCCAAGGGAAGCTCAAGTCATTCAGATACTAATCCATACAATCGGTTTGTTAAAACGACGAACAGACAGCAGCAACAGAGCAAGACACAGAAAACAGCAGAAAACCAGGAGGTGGGTTAGTTTGCAAAAGCATGGCTCCACCATTTTTAAAACTGTGTCACAATATTATTACTTTTAAAAAAATCCTAAAGGTTTCTAACAACAGGCTCAGGGCACCGAGACACTTAAAGAACACAGAGCAAATTCTGAACGGGAGAAAAGGCGGGCGTTGACTTCGCAGAGCTGGCATTGAAGATACGTTTAACCCTCTGGCGTCATGGAGGAAGACCCCGGGGATGAGGAAAGCTTGGAGGCAGGAGAGCAGAGAGGAAGGCCACGAGGTGCCTTGGGCGGCAGGTGGAGGGCTCCCCAAAAGGGGGGACAGGCAATTTAGGCCACCAGAGCAGAAGCAAGAGGAATTGAAGGTGCAGGCCCCTAGTGCGTTGCTGATTCAGTGGGCAATCTCTACGTGCCACTTTGGGAGCGTTTAACAGGGCCACAAGTGTCGTTATTTACTAATTACATTTGCAGACCACCTTTTCCTCCCTGGAGCTCAAGGAGGGGTACATGGTCCCCCCACTTTTCATCCTCTCAACCCTGTGAGAGAGGTTTGGCTGAGAGGCAGTGGCTGGCCAGTGAGCTTCACTTGACTGAGTGGGGATTCAAGGCCAGTTTCCCCACATCACAGCCTGAGACCCCTAACCCTTACACTGGCTCCCTCACAAGCAACGGGGAGGAGAGCTCTGCCGTGGGTCAGGTCTCAATGCATTTCCACTGTGTTCACTCGGCTGTTGGTTTTTTAAAAATGAGAAACCAGTGGCACGTCTTGTAGGGACATGAGCAGGGTGACGGAACCTTTCTCACACGAGAAAACAACGCCCTATCTCTCGCCCAAAACACAGAAAGCAAAGTGGGCTGGGGTGGGTGAATTTTGACTGTGAACTCCCAGGTTTGCTGTTCCAAGGACATACAAAGCACATGATAAGAAAAGCCAGCAAGAGTCACAGTCCGCGAGAGCAGGACACCAGCAGATTTAAGGAAACCAGAATGGATGAGTCGGGGAAGAAGGACGCCTGGCAAATCCTCCCCTGGCCAGTGAACCAGGGGCCAAAGCCCAGCCTGTTCAATGCCAGATATTGGGAAAGTGGAGGAAGAAACAGCCAGATGCACATGGCCTTCTGATGCAATTCTTCGTTCATTTGTGTTGAACTGGGGTGGACGAGGAGGAGATCACCCAGGGCAGCTCCTCTCATAAGCCTAAGGGAGAAGAGACAGAGGCATCAGCACAGCCAACAGAAGAACCCACACTGGGTCAGGGATCACAGGTCCTGGAGGCTGCAGGATCAGGGCCCTCCAACGCTCCCAATGCAACAGTGTATCTGGAATGGGGAGGAGGCGCCATCTTGCCCATCACCTCAGGCGGTGAGCCTCCCCAACATCAACAGTCCTTCCAAATCCAACTCCCTTGCCATGTTCATACACTTAAAGCATTGTTAGAAAGGTAAAGGGAGCCCTGACCGTTAAGTCCAGTCGTGGACGACTCTGGGGTTGTGGCGCTCATCTCGCTTTATTGGCCAAGGGAGCTGGCATACCTCTTCCGGGTCATGTGGCCAGCATGACTAAGCCGCTTCTGGTGAACCAGAGCAGTGCACGGAAACGCCGTTTACCTTCCTGCCAGATCGGTACCTATTTATCTACTTCCACTTTGACGTGCTTTCGAACTGCTAGGTTGGCAGGAACAGGGACCAAGCAATGGGAGCTCACCCCGTAGTAGGGATTTGAACCACTGATCTTCTGATCAACAAGCCCAAGAGGCTCAGTGGTTTAGACCACAGCACCACCCACGTCCCTAAGCACGGTTACCTCCCATTTAAAGTGTCATGGCTCCCCCCAAAAGAATTCTGGGAGCTGCATTCCATGAAGGGTGCTGGGGAGGCCTCAACTCCCCTCACAGGGCTGCAATTTCCTGGAGTGGTTTAAAAAGCAACCTGTCTCCACAGGGAACTCTGGGAATTGTAGCTTCATGAGGAGGAATATTGAGGCCTCCTTGCAACTTTCAGCGCCCCAAGCTACCGCTCCCAGAATTCTTTGGGGGCAGAATCCACAGCTGTTAAAAGCGGCATCGCTTCCCAGTTTGTGGGTGTGGATGTTGCCAAAGTCTGCCTCTGAACCGCTGCTTTGCCAGGCCCCTGGGGCTTCAGGGCTGCCTGCTGCTTATATAAACAAAATCCAAGTCGGGTAGGTTGTGTGAGCTCCAGCTCGTCAGAATGGCTTCTTCTCGGCTGCTCAGGTGCCCAGCTGTGGAGACGAGGCACATGTTGCTATGCACAGCTTAGCAACAAACAAGATGTATTCAAAGCGGATAATGAAATTATCACAGGGAAACAATGGGCTGACACTCGAGGAGACGGGGGCTGAGGCGATTGCCTTCTTCTCCAAGATGAAAAAGATGTGTTTCTTATTGTCTGTGCAAATATGTAGCAGCACCCCCCCCCACTCCCCTACTTCCCAGGGGCCTCACCTCCCCGCATAATGGGGTGTAATGAATATTGACAGAAGATCATGTCTTCATAAAGCAGCCAGAAACTCATTAGAAGGTGCATGTCTGCGTTCGGAGGTAGGAACCTGTAGCCTCTTGTGCTGTGAATGGGTCCAGAAGCTTTCAAAGGGAGAGGGGGGGAGTGCAGCCTTCCTAATGCAAACAAATTGTGTCCGTCTTGGTTTAATGATATCTCTTTCTTCACAACACCATAGCAGATGCCCAGGAATCAAGCACAACTATCCGTGGGTTTAAAATAATATATATTTTTTGCAAGGTAGCTGACAAGCAATTGGTTGCAAACCAGCCACAGATTTCGTTCTTCGCCTCTCCTAGCTCTGCATAACTCTTTTTGTCTTACCCTGCTCCTGTTTCCCCCCCTCCTTTCCTTTCCCCCCTTTCTATGTCTGCTCTTGGATGCCACCTCGGCAGCAAATAAATGGTGTAAATAAACCATAAACACAGCTAAGGTCAAAGCCTTCAGATGAAGAGAACTGATCACTGCACCGCCTCTTCCATTCTTCTCGCTTGTTGTATAGCCTGTGGGTGGTTGGCCAGGAGTGTGCATGATTAAAATAAGTTCTTTCAAAATTGTTTTTACTTTGAAAATTATGCCATTCTTTTCCACGAGAAAACGGTGCTTATTCTCAGGTAAATATGCCCAGTGTCAGGGAAGAAGCAGCAAAAACCCCTTTTGTTCCTGCAGTCATGATGGTACAGGGACTTCAGTGAGTTTAAAAGGTAAAAGTGCCCAGGTGGGAAATATTCCTTTTCTTTCTAAATCAGGGTTGGCAAAGCGGCTTACTTGCTTGGTTCCTAGCTCCATCTCAGGGATATTGAAGCTGTGGTCAAGCAGTGGTCAGTGGCCTCAGTTGGTGGGAAGGGGGCAACTGGCTGTCTTGAGAGAAAGGGAGCCCTGGAGTCCAGGGTTATCCGGCTACAACATACCACAGCTTGTTAGACGTGGTTTATCTTTCTAAGTTTAAGCCATGGTTTTCCCAGTAGTGATGTATGGAAGTGAGAGCTGGACCATAAAGAAGGCTGATCGCTGAAGAATGGATGTTTTTGAATTCTGGTGCTGGAGGAGACTCTTGAGAGTCCCATGGACTGCAAGGAGATCAAACCCTCTCCATTCTGAAGGAAATCAGCCCTGAGTGCTCACTGGAAGGACAGATCGTGAAGCTGAGGCTCCAAGACTTTGGCCACCCGGAAGCTGTACGCCAGCTCCCTCGGCCAGTAAAGCGAGATGAGCGCCGCAACCCCAGAGTCAGCCACGACTGGACCTAATGGTCAGGGATACCTTTACCTTTTACCATGAGGTTTACATAGGAACGTAAGACAGCCTGCTAGTTGAGGCCAGTGGCCCATGGAGTTCAGCATCCTGTTCCTGCAATGGCTAAATAAGACACAATCTGAACTGCAGAGGCAGGAAAGAGCCTTTGTTAGCATGGAGTCCACCCAAAGCATCATATTCATATATTGGACTTGACCTAATTACTTAACCTAAAGGCTTGCAGGACTGTGGTTGTTGTGATCAGAACTCCACGATCCACCCACCAGAGCCTGATGTGAAGGGCATCCATTTAGTATTAAAAACCCAGGAATCTGTTGTGAGTGACAGGAACACAGGAAGCAGCCTTATACCAAATCAGGGTCAGGGTCAAGGTCAAGGACCCCTGGACGGTTAAGTCCAGTCAAAGGCGACTCTGGGGTTGTGGCGCTCATCTCGCTTTCAGGTCAAAGGAGCCAGCGTTTGTCCACAGACAGCTTTCCAGGTCATGTGGCCAGCAGGACTAAACCGCTTCTGGCACACGGAGGACCACGACGGATGCCAGAGCGCACGGAAACACCATTTACCTTCCCACCGCAGTGGTACCTATTTATCTACTTGCACTGGCGTGCTTTTGAACTGCTAGGTTGGCAGGAACAGGGACAGAGCAATGGGATGAAGCATCTAACTCAGTATTGCCTGCACAGACTGGAGTCCCTCCCAGCCCACTTGTATAAGTCATTGGGGATTGAACCTGTGATCTTCTACATGCCAACCAGGTGTTCCACTACTGAGCTACAATCCCGACCTCACAGTCCTTTCACATTCTCGGTTCCTCCAAAATTTCTTCATTTGAGCAGTATAATTACTTAAGGCAGGGGAAAGAAATTTTGTTGCTGATATAGCTCAGCGAATGAGAGTCGGACATCTTTGCAAAATCAGCCAGGGTTCCAGATCTGGCCTTAATTTCATGGCTATCCTTTTGGCTGACTAGATGCTTTGCCATGTATTTTAAACAGGATTGCTTAGATGGAAAGAAAGGGTTGTGTGGAAGAGGTACAGAGAGAGAAAGGGGCAGAAATGCACGGGCAAAGACTTTGTGCTTCACGAGAGTGTGTGCAAACACACAAGTGGGGGTTGCACGCCCACAAGCAAGCCCCCAACAAAATATTTGAACAAGGGCTCTCATCTCAAGATGTCTAGGTTTTGTTCAGACCTACAACTAAAGAAAATAAGTCCCTATTTAGTGAGCTTAAAACAATTTGCAGGGAAATAGGGGCTTTGTTGATGGAGGGTCAGCGACCTCTGAGTGCTCACAGCACCTGTGGCTCCCTCTCCTCTCGCTCCTGCTGGGTTCATTGTTTTATTCCCCTCCCTGGGCTTTTTTTTGGGGGGGGTTACTCAAGGGTACTCAGTACCGGCACCGTCCCCCAACCCCGTTAAAAGTGCAGCACTTACTGTAACAACTTCACGGCGAGTGCCAGCAACATTTTTCTAAAACAAAACACAAAGAAAAAAGCACCAACCATTGATTTCCCCCCATGTGAGCGATTGGGGGGGGGTTTGGTGCTACGCTGCGCAGCCCACTGTCCAGGAACCAAGCCTCGCTTCAGCTTCGCAAACCGCCCCCCCCCCTGTGTGAGATGAACCACACAGGCACTTGGAACTATTTGGCACAGCAGCTCATCTGGTGTGTTTTGAGAAAATTGTGAAATTTGTGCAACCCTTCAAAGGGCTGGGTCAGCTCAGGTTCATTGAGAGAAATGAGGTTACAGGGAACCAGGCAGAGGGCCTTCTCGGTAGTAGTGCCCGCCCTGTGGAACGCCCTCCCATCAGATGTCAAGGAAATAAGCAGCTATCTTATTTTTTATTTTTAAAGGTAAAGGGACCCCTGACCATTAGGTCCAGTCGCGGACAACTCTGGGGTTGCGGGCGCTCATCTCGCTTTACTGGCCGAGGGAGCCGGTGTACAGCTTCCGGGTCATGTGGCCAGCAGGACTAAACCACTTCTGGTGAACCAGAGCAGCGCACGGAAACGCCGTTTACCTTCCCGCCAGAGCGGTACCTATTTATCTACTTGCACTTTGGCATGCTTCCGAACTGCTAGGTTGGCAGGAGCAGGGACCGGGCAACAGGAGCTCACCCCGTCACGGGGGATTCAAACCACCAACCTTCTGATCGGCAAGTCCTAGGCTCTGTGGTTTAACCCACAGCGCCACCCACGTCCCTTAGCTATCGTATCTTTAAAAGACATCTGAAGGCAGCCCTGTTTAGGGAAGTTTTTAATATTTAATGCTGTATTGTATTTAACACTCGATTGGGAGCCGCCCAGAGTGGCTGGGGAAACTCAGCCAGATGGGCAGGGTATAAACAATAAATTGTTGTTGTTGTTATTATTATTATTATTATTATTATTAGCCTGAAGGCATCCCATACAGAGCTTTTAGA